GCCGGAAATCCGCCGGAAATTCCTTTTTCCGGCGGATTTCCGGCGGATTTGGCCGCCGGAAATAGTGGGTTTTTTGGTAGTGATGCATTCATATTATTAATTTTTTTTTACTATTGATCTTCCATGTTCATTCTTGTATGAATTCCTAAATAGCATAAGAAACACGGTAGTAACGATTTTCGGTATTGATCAATTTGAACACAATATGAACACAAAATGAACAACCGTGAACACAATTTGAACACAAATGAACTGTGAACACAGATGAACACAAATTAACAGATGCTACCTTAATTTTGTGCGACGTCTATGTATGTGAATATATGGGCCAAAAATTGCACATATCGTGTTCATTTGTGTTCATATCGTGTTCACGGTTCATTTGTGTTCAAATTGTGTTCACGGTTGTTTATTTTTGTTCAAATTGTGTTCACGGTTCATTTGTGTTCAAATTGATCAATACCGAAAATTGTTACTATCGTGTTTCTTATGCGATTTAGGAATTCATACAAGAATGAACATGGAAGATCAATAATAAAAAAATAATAATAAAAATATGAATGCATATTTTTTGGGATTTGATTGTTTGTAACTCCCCATTAATTGTTTGGGGGTTACAAATGAATTCAATTTACTAGAATACCCTTGATAAGTGTATTTTTTCTTTCCAAAATGCCCCTTTCATCATTGTTCATTAGGCCTCATTAAAATTCAAACTTTAAAATTTAATTTTTTTTATTGATTAATCTTAACCGTTGATTATAGATTTGGATGACCAAAATCAGTTAATAATGTTAATACAAAAATGATGGTTAACATTTGATCTTGGCCCTGTACAGATAACACTCAATAGTTATCATAGTTATACTTTAACACACAATTTCATTATTATCCTCCAAGAATAATTATTTCAACAACTAACACGATTTAACTTGGGTTTCTACAAATGGAAACAAAACGTATTCTTTGTATGTGATCTTATAGGTTTACATACTCCTTAGCAATATTTTTATGTGACACATGTACTGGGTATACAATAACTTATATTTACTATTATGTTCATTTTCTTCGATCGTTATATCATAAAAACTTCATTTCAACGTACTTGTAATCATAATATTTATGATTCATATTTGGGTATAAAATCATTAATATAACTATGAATCTCGTTATATACGTAATCATTCACAATAAAATATATTACCCTAATTAATCATTCTCCAATAAGGACCGGACACGTATGAAATAGTGTTTTTAGCCATAAAAGGCCTTATTACCACTTGTTTTTCTTAAGTAATGTTTTAGCCTTGATATTTTGGTCGTCTTCATATAAAAAAGGTTAATGAAAAACAATGGTCCAAATAGCTTTAACATATACTATAGATAAAAAAAGGTTTATTGGCGGGGACCTCATGGCCCCGTGGTCCACATTTTGTGAGCCCTACTTGCCATACCTCATAAGCAAGCACCGGAAAAGACAACCTGTCCTCCCCTGGAATCGGACCTTTGCGGGCACGCCCAAGGCAAGGCATTTACGGAAGGAGGTACCGATCAATTAATTAACTAGGGTGGGATTCAAACACTAGACCTCTTAGGAAGCCAAATGCCCTTGCCACCACTAGACCAACTAGTGATTGGTACATATACTATAGATAAGAAATTACTAGTATGGGATCTATAAGGAACTATTAATTTATATATTATCTGTCGTTACGAAATAATCTGTAGCGTTTCTGTAAGGCATAGACTCATGCCATGACGTTTTCAGGCGCGTTGTGGCCTACAGCGGCACACGTTTTTTGTAACCCGTCATGTTTTTCATCTTTTGTGTTTTTACATTTTTAATCTTAGAGTTTACATTTTTATAGATCTAAATAATCACGTTACTCACGGTTTCACAAATTCATAAACCTTACAGATTCACAGTTAAAAGGAAGTTGTAAAATTGTCTTTCTAAGTTCTATTTCAAATATTTAATCAAAAACATATTCTTATAATAATAATCTATATTATTTTTCTTTTTCTAATATGAATATACATTTTTTTAGTATCATTATCTGATTAGATATCTATATATGACATACAAATTTACAGTCTTATGTCACGTCTTGAAAAATACAAACGTCCTCGTCATGACATGTAAAACTTGAGACTTGAACTTGTTATCATGCCACGTCTCAAACCTTTTAAAACCTTGATATTATATGGGGTCAATATGAGAAATTAAAGATTTTAGCGAATTATAAACTTGACACTTTATTTCCGAGTGGGGACTACACAAAATAACTATTTGAAAAAAATATTAAATAATCAATTACTTATTAATGGAGTTTCAACTTTCAACTATAAAATTTGGTTCAAATCAAAATTACCAAATGAATAATTTCCAGAAAAGAAAATGTAAAACATATCTATACTATATTATAAAGCATTTGATAAAAAAATTTAAAAACCATTTTTTATGTAAAAAATAATGTTTATTGATGCATATTACTTAAAATTTAAAATTATAAATAATTTTGTGTAAGTACAATTTATTAAAATTCTATTTTTAAATTCGTGTAACTAACTGTTGATAAACATAATCAAATACATGATAAACATTCATTTTTAAATGTAGAAAATCTAAAATATAGTTGAGATAATCATTGAGTTCTAACATAATGTTTAATTATTATCTTTGTAAAAAATTATATTATTAAACCAAAAATAATCTATCTATACTATATTACAAAACATTTGACAAAAACTTTTAAAATCAATTTTTATGTATGAAGTACTGTTTATTGATGTCTATTACTTAAAATTCAAGATTACAAGTAAATTGTGCGTAAGTACAATTATTAAAGCTCCATCTTTAATTCATGTAACTAACTACGGATAAACATAATCAAATAGAAGATAAATATCTTATGTTTAAAATATAAAATATAAAAAATCTAAAATATGATTAATATAATTATCGAGTTCTAACAAAATAATTAATTATTATTTTTATAAAAAATTATACTATTAAATTAAATATAAATTACTTCGTTATTGAACCTAAACTAAATTGAATTAAAAATTATATTAAAAAATTACACAAAAAATGAGAAATTTTCAATAGTTTATTTGATAGTAATATCTATATATTTTTGTCAAATTTTTATGATATTTTCAAATTTATATTTTATTAAAAAATAAAGACATTGTCGTTTTTTCAAAATCACATAAGACCATATTATAACATCGAATGAGATAAAGAATAAAACAAAATATCAAAATCAAGATGTATCTCGCTATATTATGCGAGTACCCTTCTAATACATTTACAATGAATTCTTTGTTACCCTTCACTCACGAGAATACCAATCCACATCTAATCCAACAAACCTATGCATGCTTAAATGGCTAGGAAACACTAAAAAGTAAAAAAAACAAAAAAAACAACATTTGTGCTTTTGGTAATTAACATGTTTGTTTCAAAAGATTCAATAGTAATTACTTAAATTATGCATAAAATTGTTGTAAAATTTTTATGTTTTACAACAAGCATATTAAGTATTTACTGCTGAAATTTTAATTCGTATCTTTTATCCGATTATTTTTTACTTTACTTTTACAAATTTGCAAGTAATATTCGATTCCAAGTGTCAGGAACTCCTGGCAAACACCAATGTATGCAATCTGCGAATTTGAAGGGGTCGGCTTTTTGCTCATCTGTCAACAATTTGCCTTGCATTTCTGTGTAAATCGACGAATGGGCTTCTACTCTGTATTCTGATAGTTGTGTTACGTTGATGAACGTCACTGGAACTTTCATTTTTCCCACGACACTAGCAACCACACTCATTATCCTCTTGTCAGAACCAGTACCCCAGTGTCCTCTTTTTGTGACTGGTTTCGTTTCGTTGAAGCATTTGATACCTCCTTTGTTGTTCCAGTCCGCACTCCTACCCAAGTTTCATATCACATCAGTACATACGTGTAAACTACACCATTTTTATTGCCAATATTAAAAAAATCAATAGCTCTTTTAGAGATTTATATAACAAGGTTCCACAGATTCTCAAACACGTCAACTAAACAAGACACATAATCACATTCAACATTCTTCTCATACAATACACATCATGAGCAAGACCAAGACCTAACCTTTGATGAGTAGGTGACATAGTGGTGAAGAAGACACGAGTTTTGTTCGGATCGACATTTGAGTCAACCCAATTTGCCCATGTCTTCAATGCTATTCTATAAGAAACCGCTGCATCTAATTCTTCTGAACCATCTTCGCCATTTGCAAATGAACCCCATCTGTGTGCCAAAAACCACATATCATAAATAACTTCTCAGAGTCGAAGCAAGACAGGTTACATAGAGCATTTTCATGACATAACAAATCAAACTATTCTTCTATTTAAGATAACTTACAGGGATCTGATTTTCGAACCAGTCATCCACCAAACATAAGTATTGAAAACGAGAACATCAACTCCTACCCAATGTTTGGCATGTTTTTCGATGGAATCAACACGGAGTATTCTCTTCTTTGGATCTCCTATTATTTTTTCATCTGTGTTTGAGTCTATCAGAAATGGTGCCCAATAGAACTCGATCGTCGCATTGTGATCCTGTTAAAATCGACCATTTCTTGTTACCAATCAATTATTTTTAGTCGCATAAAGTTCAACAGTTTTTTTAGCCATAGAAGTCATCTATTTTTGAAAGGGCAACATGCAACCAAATCGTTCTGATTTCTATTTAGTGTAAGCATGATTTTTTTAATTCGTGTAACAAATATTTAATTCTTCTTACCAAAGGACCTTTGTCCTAGCGGTATGTGAGTCTTTGGTCTTCTAGGAGGTCAAGGGTTCAAACCTCACCAAAGGTGAGGAGGGTGTGTGAGTTTATTTGTTCTATTTGCCGTATATAAATATTAAATACTTCCAAAAAAAATATTTAATTCTTCTTACTGATAAGTCAAAAGTGTAAATTGTAATTGTATTTTAGTCCCTCTTTACGTGAAAAACATGTCACATCAAAATGCGGCGATGTAACATAGGGTGAAAACTCATTTATGTCAGGTAAAAATGGTTACGAAATAGGAAGAATAAAAAGTGTCTTATGGTAATTGAGAACAAAAATTAAGGTTACATTAAACAGTAAATTAGACAAAGTTTGTTATATTTTAATTAATACATCTTACCCTTTATTTTTTTACCGATAAACAAAATCCTAATCGACATTTTACCCAAGAAGTACAATCACATAGTCTTTTCATATAAATTTAACCTTTTTCCACCGAGCTATGGATTTTAATAGTAAAGAGAATGTTCAAATAACAGAGAATTTTATTTAGAATCAACTGAAAATTTGAGCCAAATGCACCTTTATTTTGAAGACCGAATGAACTCGTCCTCTTCGCATTGATTTCTGACCCTTCGGTACAAGAAATTCAACCAAACAAACAAAAGATTGCCATTGCCCTCTTTGTAAGGAATCTCCGACGAACATCATCCTCTTTCCTCTGATTCTATCAAGTGCGAGTCTTGCGTCGAATCTAATGAAATGAATTTGTTATTATAAAATATTCATAGCCATTCAATATTTTACACTCTCTACAAAATAAAAAAAAATTAATGCTTCTTCTATTTGATAATTTTATTCTCTCGTGTAGCTTCGTTGACAAAGGAGTGAGACGACTTTACTCAAATACAAGATAAATCTTGGGTTCAATCCTCCCCCCCCCCCCCCCCCGGACTAACATTCGCTGCTGAGTGGGCCAAAAATTATGTCATTGCATTGGTGTCCTTTGAGGCAGGTTACGCGTGGGACCATTTAGGGTCGTCTGTACTCAACTTTTTGCCCAAATTAATGCATCTTTCTTTCTACTCCTAATACCGAGTAATTTTCTCTTTTCTCCATTTTAAGGAATTTGTTTAGGGGGTGTTTGGGATTGCTTATTTGAAACAACTTATGCTTTTCTACAAAAACACTTATCAACTTACTATAAGTCAGAAGGGTTTAACTTCTTCAAAAACTTCTTATTACCGGTTTGACACCGGTATAAGTTGTTTATCCAAACACTCAAAAGTGCTTATTACCGGTGCCACATCGGAATAAGTCAATAAGTTGTTTTTATAAGCAATCCCAAACACTCCCTTAAAGTTTCTATTGTAAAAAAATAATCTTTTAACTCTTCGTTTTCTCCATTTCAAAGATTCTCTTGAACATCCTCTCGCAACTTATCCTCACGATTTCTAAAAACATGCAAAAGGTGATTAAATAAATGAAAAAGTTAAAACCTTGGAAGGACGCAGTCATCGAGTTGCCACTCCCATCGACGGTAATCGGAATCCGGCTTTCCGTTCTTAACACACGACACTTGCCGATCGAGATATGGGCAAGAAAGGTCGGTATACAAAGGCTTGAATGAGCGATTATAGACCCATTTCCCTTGAGCAACATTACATTCATCTGGGTCGAAGATGAATCTATCATCTATAATCGACTTAAATTTGTCATCCTTCGTACTGTTTTTTTCATCTGTTTTAAAAAACTTAACCATGGTCAACACAATAAACATGCAAAAAGTGCAAAAAAGAGACCAAATTAAAAGCTCCATTTCATGACAATTGTCATAGATCTTAACCAGTAGCGGCGGATCCTAAAATTTTGGTAATGGGATGAAATTCAAATTTATAAAATTTGTAGGGGTGAAAAGTAGATATATGATTAGAAAATTTCAAATTTATAATATAAAAAATGCATTTTTTGAAAATTTACAGAGTCGACTGACTCTCAACCCTCGGGCATAAATCGACACATGATCGGACGATAATCATACCTTCGAACGGCTTCCTTATGTACTTGGAATAACCCCTTTTCGCACATGATTTGGACTTGAACACAGAGGACGACAACAAGTTGATTCTCTCGGTGTACAATAGAACGATAAACGTGAATGAAAAAACGAAGACGGTGATGACCGAAAGCGGGATCTTGAAACGAGGAGGTTTCGCAACGATGCCCATGAGGACGTCGGTTGTCTTTATATGTTTATGTCTCAAAAACTTGATGGAAGCTCAAAATTTTGTGTGAAGTTATTATATGGAAGATGATGGTTTTATGTTAATGCATTTGAAATGATTATGCATATTATTTTATTCCTTTATGGAGTAAGAGTGAAGCTAAAGCATTGGATTTCATTTGATATTATTTTGTTCACAACACATTTTTGTGAAGAGGTTATAGGGCAAAGCTGTTGGAAGGCCATTTTCATGTCCTCCTTTTGGTGTTGTATGAAGTGATGGAGAATACCTCCAAAACCAAGTGTCAAACATGTAAAGGGTGTTTTTGGAAGAATATATATATATATATATATATATATATATATATATAATATTATTGAAGAATAATTCTTTTATACGGATAAGGTTGTTTGTCTGGATTAATATGCCTTTATAGATTGGAACAGTTTTATTTGGGAGGATTTTTTCATAGATGAAAAGAAGGTGTTTTTTTAATTGAGAGGGTCGGGTTGGAAAAAATTTGGTTTTCTACATAAAACATCCTCTTAAAAGTTTAGTAGAATAAGCTATCTTATACATAGTTAAGTCATTACCAAACAATTATGTATAGTTGATTGAATAAATTATGATTCTTGTTAAGTTCATTAAGCTGCTAACTTTTTGAAGAAACTATTTAGATTACTTCTATTAAGTTTTTTTTTTTTTTTTTTTCAAATTATGCTCCTTGCTTTTTTACTAATAGCTGATTTATTAACCAATAATTAACTTTTCACCCAACAACTAGTGATCTATCAACTAACAACTAGTTTATTATTTAGTTTAATGAATATAGCCAAAATCGAGTATCGAGCTGAAAATAAGACCAATCAAACCGTTCAAAAACCAACAAGAAAATAACGTCATTTTGGTGGTAAATTGGTGATTGAAGATATAATAAAATTGATAAAAATTAATCATTAGAAAACTTTAAATCAGTAATAAATTGAAGATGATGATAAAATTGATACATGAATGTGGAGGATGTATATACATCCGTTAGTGCATATGCAATAAATTCAAAAAATGAAGTGTAATAAAACATAATATGTGTGATTGAATTACAATATTTGGTTTTTTTTAGTCATTTATATATAAATTGTTTGTTTGAAAAGATAGTGTTTTTTTATGAATAATAAACATTAATATATTCTTTTTTTCTAAATATAAGTAAAAATATAAATATAATGTTGGGAAAATTAATGAGCCTTTTTTGTCCCTTTTTGAGGTGGGAGCTCTTTATCTCTTGTAACTTGCAACTACAGTTATATGATAACAGAAGAGATTCTTCATGTCAAAGAGGTTGAACCTAACAAAGTTTCCACAAGTTGAATATATATATATATATATATATATAGAGGGAACATCAAATGTTAACCAATAATTTTGTGTTAACTTTACAAATCATATCAACCAATCAAATTTCATTCTTCTAGTAGGTTTATGTCATATTCACAAGTTAATTACAAAACTATTTCAGTAAATTGATTTGATATGTAACTCCCAAACAATTAATGGGGAATCACAAATCATCAAATCAATTTACATATGCATTTATAATATTAATATATATATATATATAATATATATAATATATATATTTTTTAATCTTGATTTTCCATGTTCATTGTTTTATGAGTTTTTAAATCGCATAGGAAACACTGTAGTAAAATTTTCGGTATCGATCAAACTAATATGGATAAACACAATGGAAAAGAAATCGACAAYAGTGAGAAGATTAAAATGGTTGATGATGACAATTGGAGTTCGARTTYGGGAAGTRAAGAAATTAACCAAARCGAATGTCTTGGTAATAGATTAATATTTTTATTAGAAAAACGAATTATGTTCATTACGATGTGTTGTGTTTTTTATATTTCATCTTTTATTGATAGTTTTTTTTTTAATTGCACCACGTGTTCATAGCATATATGTTATGTGTTCATACTATTTCTACGATAATCTCTCACTATGTGGCTTGTTCATGTTCATCACTCGTTCATACTGTGTTCATATTTCTACGATACTATTGTTCATGTTCATCACTCGTTCATAATGTGTTCATATTTCTACGATATTTCTACGGTACTTTTGAACAAGAGGTGAACAACCATATAAGATCAGAAACATATATGAACAAGGGGTGAACCTTAAACGGTGTTGATGCAATGCATGTATAAAACTCCAATTGACAAAGTATCGCTCTTGAATGTGTTTATAATGAAGAAACTATTATTCACAAGCTGTTCATATCGTGTTCATACCTGTTTTTTTATTTATTTCCTTTCGTATAACAGTTATTCTTATTATGTTCATATTGTGTTCATAAATGCTATGCAGTCCAAGTTCATATATATGTCAAATTTTTGTTCGTATTTGACACAATGATTCATATATATATATATATATATATATATATATATATAGTTGTGTTCATATGGTTCTTACATTAACAAAAAATCATAGAATTTTTGATTTTATAACTCCCAATTAATTAATGATATGGGAGTTACATACTTTTTTTTTTACCTAAATACCTTTTTCAACATTGTTCACTTATCTTTATGCAATTTTAAATTTAAAAAAATAAGTTTTTATCATGATTAATCACAACCGTTTATTGAAAAATTGAATGGCCAAGATCGGTTAACAAAGTTAACACAAAAACTTTATATAGGGTCAAGTTCAAATGTTAACCAAAGTTTTTGTGTTAACTTTGTTAACCGATCTTGGCCATTCAATCTTTCAATAAACGGTTGTGATTGATTAATCATGATAAAAACTTATTTTTTTAAATTTAAAATTGCATAAAGATAAGTGAACAATGTTGAAAAGGGTATTTAGGTAATTTTTTTATGTAACTCCCATATCATTAATTGGGAGTTACAAAATCAAAAAATTCTATGATTTTTGTTAATGTAAAACCATATGAACACAATTATATACATATGAACCATTGTGTCAAATACGAACAAAAAATCGACATATATATGAACTTTGGCTGCATATCATTTATGAACACAATATGAACATAATAAGAATAACTGCTATACGAAATGAAATAAATAAAAAACCATGTATGAACACGATATGAACAGCTTGTGAACAATAATTCATTCATTATAAACATATTCAGGAGCGATCATTTGTCAATTGGAGTTTTATACATGCATTGCATCCACGCCGTTTAAGGTTCACCCCTTGTTCATATATGTTTCTGGTCTTATGTGGTTGTTCACCCCTTGTTCATATCGTATAAAATATATGAACACAAAACCCCGACGCTATAAACATCGGGTGCAAACACTTACACAAATATAAAGATTTGGTATCAAGCTTAAAGAATAACACTTGTGTTCATATGATAGAAGTAACATGAAAACGATGGTTTATGATTCATACAAGTCGGTAATATGACAATATGAAAACGAGTCGTGCATGTACTTCCATTTGAACATATGAATTACATACGTATTAATAATTAAAGAAAAAAGTTATCAACAYAATATGAACTACAAGAAACACAACACATCATAATAAACATAATTTCGATTAAAACGAGTTTAATAAAATATTAGTCCATTACCAAGACATTCGCTTTGGTTAATTTCTTCACTTCCCGAACTCGAACTCCGATTGTCACCATAAACCATTTTAATCTTCTCAATATTGTCGATTTTTTCTCAATGTGTTTATCCATAATAGCTTGAACGATACCGAAGATTTTACTACCGTATTTCCTCCACGAATCAAAAACTCATAAAACAATAAAAATGGAAGATCAAGAATAAAAAAATAAATAAAAATATCAATATTATAAATGTATATTTTTAGAAATTTTATGATTTTGTAACTCTTCTTTAATGGTATGAGAGTTACATAGCAAATGAAATGACTCAATTACCCTTGACATTAAATTGTGAACATGAAAGATACCTAATAGAAGAATGGATTGTGATTGATTGACATGATTTGCAAAGTTAACACAAAAACTTTGGTTAACATTTGATCTT